TTCTTTCTCTTTTGGTGAAAGTGCAGAGGTTGTGAAGGATTGTTTTATTCTATTAAACGCTTCAACGATTGGTGATGTTTTTGTCTTTGAAGCTTTTTCACTTACACTCTTTTTGGAATCTTTTGAAGAACGTACCTTTGGCTTGGCGCGAGGGGTGTCGATGTTCACGTGTGGATTGTACGTTGGATCGTCTTCGTCCGATGAACTTAGAATAGAATCGTCGGCAGTAGTCCCAAAATTAGGCTGTTGATCTTTTCTTTCTCTTAATTGCCTAGAACTAGGCTTATCGGACTCTGCTGGTTCCGATATTTTGGAACTCGCTTGCTTTCTTTTGTCACTTGACGGTCGGCTTACCGGTGTCCTGGTTCGGAAGAACTGGGAGTGATGAGTTACGTGAACGATCCTCGCTAACTCAAAAGGTTCTCTCTTTTCTTTATACACTGGGGTCAGTTAGTGATGCGTATACAGGGTGGGTGGGGTGGGTCTCGGTAAGTTTTAGGAATAGACCGCTGCTCTGGTTAGCAGCGTGAGGGGTATATTGGTCAGAGCATGATCAGGCTCTGGGCGGTTCTAGACCCGCCTTATAGCGTATTCTCTACTCTTATTCGCTAAAACTAAAATCTTTTTATCTTTTCCTTTTCTCTTNCGTATTCTCTACTCTTATTCGCTAAAACTAAAATCTTTTTATCTTTTCCTTTTCTCTTCGTTTCGTATTGTCTCTCTTAGTCGTGAAATCTCTTTTTTTTTCTGTCAAAATGATGAAAATTTGATGTATTTCAGTGAATTCACTTCGCTCAGCTTAAAAAGAAAGTTTTCTTTCTCTCTTCTCTCTCTCGCTCTCTTCGAAAAAAAAATATGATTCTCGACGTCTTCATGTCGCTCCAAACGGTGCTTTTGCACCTTCAAGCTCTTATTATGGAGAAAGAGCTACCGACTCGGATAAATTGTCCGTGTACGGGATTTGCGCGGGGAGTGTCAATGTCCTTGCCCGGGTTGTACGTTGGGTCGTCTTCGTCCGATGAGCTTAGAATAGAGTCGTCGGCGGTAGTTCCAAAATNGTTGGGTCGTCTTCGTCCGATGAGCTTAGAATAGAGTCGTCGGCGGTAGTTCCAAAATTGAGCTGTTGTTCTTTTCTCTCTCTTAATTGCCTAAAACCAGGCTTATCGGACTCTGTTTGATCCGATATTTTGGAAGTCGCTTGCTTTCTTTTCTCGCTTGAGGGTCGACCTACCGGTTCCCTGGTTCGGAAGAACTGGGAGTGGTGGGTTACGTGAACGA